AGTATGGTGATCGCTGCATTCACTTCTGCATATAGGCTTTAGTTCTGAGGAAGGTAGAGACATAAAAACACTGCAAGCTACAAGACTGTAATATAGCCTCTTTCACCTTGCTGTCTTTGAAAGAATGGTAACTTCTTTATGAGAAAGGCTAGTCCCATCTCCATAAAAATAGCGCTGGTCACTTGTCCTTGCTTTCAGTTAGCTTTGGATGAGCAAAATTTTAAAGTGAGGAATAAGCGATGTCACAAAATCTTATACTTCATGTTTGCCCATGCCCTTGGAAAGCTTAATAATTTCTTGATCAGATGTTTATCACAAAAAAAATAATAGAACTGAAATTATCTTTTCAGTCAGTGACTAACATAATTAAAGCTGCAAGTATGTAAAAGATGGGTTTAGGATGTTTTGAAATGTTTAGGATGTTTGCTCTTTTAATTAACTGAAGAGGAAATGAAGGATTTAGTTTTAAAATAGCGTCTTTTTTTTTTTTTTCTAAAAGAACAAAACCAAATCTTTATTATTTTACAAGAGTTTTATCGCTTGGGTGTATTTTCATTTTGAGTGCCTTTGTGTATAGACAGGCTATTGTGTTACAGGGTTTGGGCTGATACAAGCTGGCAGAAACAGAGAAGTCTGTCTTGGCAACCCCTGAATTTTATGTAAGAGAACATCTGTAACATCTATCTTTATGCTGTAGCTGGACTCGTGTAGCCTGAAATAGAACTGGAATCTAAAAGCAAGCACATCTGCCACCATAAAATTGTGAATATTGTACTTTTTTTGAGTTTAAGGACACTAGAAGTGCTGCATGTGCATGCTATTCGCTTGGGAACCCCGAGGCTCCTTACGCTGCTTGGGTGCAAACCGTAGCCCAGACAAGGGCCCTGTCTAGAAGAACACTAGATTGAGGCCGATACTGTGATGGTTTTGAATACGTTAGTGAAAGCCATCATTGCTCGTAGAATATCTCACTGCTTGCAAGAAATGTGAGACCCTTTCCTGCCGTTTGCATCCGCTGCATGAAAGCTGCTTTGGAGCACAGACCAAGTCAGTGTTTTCTGCAAAGCCCATGGAAAACAATCAGAATTGCTGCAAAATTAATGTATTAAAAGTGTCATATTGTTGTGAGAGACAGACAAAGGAGATGAATCATTATTAACAACTTGTGTTGTAATTTGTTCTTCCCAAGCTAATTCCAATCATCTCTCCAAGGAGAGATACCACCTCATGTCTTTACAACCTTTTGTTCCATTTCAGTACACTTCTTCACCACTCGGGAATTTTTATTTTTTGGGAAAGTAGGCTAGCTTGGCCTTACATCAAAGTCTTGAATTGTGAGGAATTTACATGTTTGCCTTACAGTGGGCTGCAGACCTTCCCCTGTAGAAGGGAAAGGAAGAGATGAAGCATAAACTGTGTGTAAAAGTTACCTGAATACGATGACATAACTAGAATTTGAATGGATGAGATGAAGGATACAGGATGTGCGTTGCACTTTAAATATAAAAGTATTGTTCAAAATGGTTTCAGATTTCACTGTGTAAGTTAACATGAAGTAGTTCTGATTTATTCTATAGGCGCTCAATTGTCACAGAAGGATGAGGAGTTGCAAGTCATAAGCCACTTTAAGCAGCATTTTTGAATCTCATTAAAAGCATTAAATTAGGGAAACCCATGAAAAATGAGCTTCTGGCAACCACTCAATTTCAGTATGTCTCACTGTCCAAAACATTAACGCTCGATTATTTTAAAGCTTCTTCTGTAATTTTGAGAGGTCAGTCTAAAAAGCATTACAAATACAAATGCTGCTGCAAAAAGTAGTATTTAAATTTAATTTCGGTTATCTATCTGTAATTGTAGAATAACTATGCTGGTAATACTGTAGTTACTTTGGTTTATATTTTGGTAACCAAAACTGGAATGTGGCCTTTACCCCACTAAACTGATATTATCGTCCTTAAAGTTTGGAAGCCACAAGACTGGGATGTGAACAATAGCACAGCACATGTGTACACATACTTTGCCCCACAGAATCTCTTGGCTTTTGTTTATTTCTTCCCTCAAAGGAGAAGTTTTAATTTTCTTTTTTTAATAGGCTATGCAGTTTTTCTTCTGAACCATCTCAAATAAATTATCTATAATCAAGAGGAATGTTTCCAATCAATTATTTACTGCAGCCACATGCTTGTATTCCAGATTATTCACACTCTTCAGAACTTGTATAATGAAGATATTAATGGCTGATCAAGAGTCATATAGAATGGATGCAATTTTTTGAAACATGCCTCTCTATTTTGAAGGCAACTATTATAACAGGTATAATGTTCCATATGAATTTCGTACCTAGGAAAGAAATACTTCAGGCTAAGAGAATGGAAAAAAGAAATGCTCTTATTTTCTCTGTGTTGCTTTTCAGCATCGCACTGGAGATTCAAATGCATCACTCATTCTTCACTCATTCTTCCCATTTTGTTACAGTAATTAAATGTTCCTCAGTCTTTCTGTGTTACACTGATGAACATAGTCACAAAGTCTGTGCCCATCATTTTTTTCAGTATAAAGCAGCTCATGTACATTTGTATACAAAATTCTACATGTAATGGACTTCCTGTTAGCAACTTGTGTGTTTGAAAACTATGATATTTGGAAAAACAAAGCTTATATTTTCAATAGTGAAAATAGTGAATATATATACGGTATATTTAGAAATTTGCTATGTTTACCATAAGGTATGTGTTTGAAGTAAGTAAATATGGAAAAAAATGCAGTATTCTCGCTCTCTTTCCACATATTTTCCTTGCTGATTTTTGTCACATCCTAAAAAGGATGGAATAGTGCCTCAAAAACATTAAGAGAAACATGTAGATACCCAATAGTTGCCTACTTATAATTTTATGGTCACACTGATGGCCTTAGATCTTGCTATGTAGAAACATTTAACCATGTTTCTTTCCCTCCTCCCCCCCGCCCTCCTGTATATGATCATTTTTCTGTCAGATAGGCAGACCTCTGCCATTGGTAGTAGTCCTGCTTGATCTTTGACAATGGCGCACCTTTTAATATTTTTAGAATTGAGACAGATGCTCTATTTAAGCTTTAGCCAGTGTTTTGATCAAAGGTAGTAGCAGAGCCTTAAAAAAAAGGCCACAAGAGGTGAAATAGTGGTCCCCACTGACCTTCATTCCTATGAAAATGTGATTTCCTTGGAAGCCATACTGAATTTTAATGTGTAATAAAACTCAATTTTGATTTAAATATGTTTATATTTTTGCACCTATCTGTAGCTTAAACAAACAAACAACCCCACCCCACAGCAAATTGCCCTGAAATGTAATGTAGTTTTTATATGACTTCTCCTCCTTTGGCACTTAAGGAGTCTTCTCCAGTGGATGACAAAATCTTTTTAAGAATTGAGAATACATCTGGAAACATTTGCATTCATTCTAATATTATCGGGTTCTTTTTGCTACTGTAATGCTATCTTTGTTTCTTTTCTTCCAGCAGCAGCGATACTAATTGAGAAGAAGCTAAAGGATGATGAGTATCAGACTGAATCATGCATTAGAAAGTGTTTGATGGCTAGCTTGGTAGCCTAGAGCATTTTCCTACTTTAATTCAAGTATCATAGTATCATTTTGTGTCTTCAAAAATACGTGGGAAAAGATCTTGCTTTCCACTGAATTGCCTAGGGTTAGTTAGACTCAAGAGTGAAATATTTTAAGGTAGACTACTGAAGTATTAAAATATGAGCATTACTCAACTTGTGCGAAAAAGAACTCACCAGAGAATTCAATCTCAGACCCCCACTTCTACCTCTGCTTTTTCTTCTTTTCTCCTACCGTTTCCCCACCACTTCTCTCAGTCTTCGCTGGGTACATGTGTTCTCCTTCCTATGTACTGCAGGCTGCTGGTAGCTCAGCTAGGGCTAAAACACTTGCCATCCAGTGCAACTGCACCTGAAAGCCCTGTGTTTCTTAGTTTATAAGTAATAGGAGTAAAAGCAAAGCGACTTTCACTCTGCTACCAGGCCCATGTGGTGAATACTTTCATGCATGATCCATAGTTCCCCTGTCGTCTGCTGCAGTCTGGGAATGATTTGCATGGTCGGAGTGTTAGGTTTTGCAGGAAGCCAACACTTCTTAGCTCATTTTTCAGTATGTGTGGTGGGTTTGCTGCGTGTTCTTGGCCGCCTGCAAAGCTTACCACGGCAGGCCATCAAAGTATTTATAGGCTTCTACAGTGCAGCAGGCAGCAGAAGACACACCACCACGTACAGGCAGAGGGAAATGCTGTGATGTGCTGCCACGTGCAAGACTCGAATTCAACTCCCACATGAGTTTGTCGCTGCGATGAGGCTGATCCAAGACTTACTGAAACCAGAGGAAAGCCTTACCATGGCTTTAGGAGGCTTCAGCAGCTTGTCAGGCAAGTCTTCTGGGTCCTAGGAGCATTTCCTTCTTCCTTTGTTGATAGCAAGAAACAATTTTGCTTTCACCCTTCCCTTCATTCCCGCCCCAAAAGAGCTTGTGTTGTGTTTTACAGGATTACCAGAGCGCTGCCTCATCAGGTCGGTAGACACTATAGTAACATTTATTAATATTAAGACATGTAATATTATGGTCTTATTCGGTAACAGAGTGTATTAAGAGACCACCTCTAAGAAACCTCAAACACCTAATATACTTCCACCCTTAGCAGGCAACCACATCTGTTAAATGGGTTATTTCTGCCAATGGTTTTGTACCAGTTAATACAGGTCAGAATTGGCTGTTAGCACAAGCATTAGGTAGCTTTCTGAACAGCTTATGGGGAAGATGACTGTTGATGACTGGTCCTGCTACTGCTACGGGCACCGTCACTGTTGCCAGGTGTAATAACAGGATGGACGCTGAACTCCTGGCCAAGCTACTGCGATTAAGCGTTACAAACATGCACTTTTGAGAATGGCTTGGCCCAGGGATTTTTATTGATTATTTAATGTGTAACATCTTTTCTTCCAGAGGGGAGAAGAGACTTGGAGAAGACAAGAGCTGGGAAGCATACAGCCTAACCCCCGCAGGGGTGACGCAGACATTGGCACCCAGCTCGTGTCTGTTACAGAGGCTGCTTATCTCTTCTACATCAAAAGAATGAAAACAGAAGCCAGGTTTTGGGGAGAGGTTAGAAACCGGCTTTCACTTGCTCCCCAAGGGACTGGGCCTGGTCTCGCCCGGGGTCACATCATTTTTGTGCTGTGACGCAGAGAGGCTGTGTAGAATGGCTATTCCTCAACAGGAATTTTAACCCTAGTCCAGAAAAAGTTTGAGGTGTTAATACTCTGAAACAAAGCATCCCTTGTCACCAGCATGTCACAGAGCATTTAAATCATAGAGCTGTTTTAAATCTGTTGGTTGAAGGGAATTCCATCTATTCCATCCATAGTAAAGAAGGGAGCAAATTCCTCCTTCCTTCTTCTTCTTCTCTCTCTCCCCTTTCTCTTGCTTTCTTGTACACTTTGGGTTTTGTTTGTTTTTTACGGTACTTTAAAAGACCAAAGTTTACCTTCAGGTCTCATTCTGTAAAACCTAGGTGAAAACATGTAGCCAGCAACATGAAGCACATAACCTTTATGGAGACTGGGAGATTTAAAATACTTGTCTGTTCTCAGTTTATTCACACAGTCATTTAGATGTCGATGTCTTTGCGTTTCGCTCTGACAAACTGTAAAGGCATGTTTACCATTACAGGGGAAAGGGAGAAGTAGTACACACACATTTACACACAGCTCATCTGGGTTTGGACAGGCTGTAGTGGGGATGTGTGACTGGGTGACTGCAGGGAAGCTCCTTGGTTGTGTCACAGTTTCTTAGCTGACAGGTCTGTTGGGCTCCAACAGCGCAGGGATGGTTTGGTTCTTGCGGTGCCACTCGCATCCCTCTTCTCAATTCTCCGTTGCATGTAGCATATATATATTTCCAAAGTCTTTCTATTTGGAGGAATATCCATGTAGCAAAGAGCTGATTGATTGCATTTTCTTAGCACAGAAAGGGAAGCAAGGTTGTCTGTATAAATGTTCAACTGTTCAAATGTTCAACCCCCAAATGGCAACTGAGTTCAGTGATTCTGAACCCAGCTGTGTACCTGAACTCAGATGCTACCTTATCTACTTGTGTATTACTTAAAAGGAAAGCTAAAAATATTCAGTGGAATAGTTTTCTTATCTTTCAGAATGATCTGCATACCTATCTTTTTATTGAGGTACGTGGTTGCATTGATATGTATGAGATGTCATTTATCAATAGATCCTTTGGCACATAGATTCAAGAAATGTAGTGTGAAAGCATATTAAAAAGAAAGGAGACTTCAGATTAGATTGTATTCTTGCACAAGTGGAGGTTGCTTTGATATGTAGATGCAATGCCGCTGCATCTCTTGGGCAGGAAAAACGCTTCTTTATGAGTCTATCAGAGACTCATGGTGAAATTGTGTCCCTCATTGTGAAATTATAGAATAGAGACCAACTATCAATTCCTAATAGTGAAAAAGAAAACACCCAATGCGTCCCGGTGTTATTTTTAAGTGAAAAAC